ACTTTAATGTTTAATTTACACCCAAACTATGCTGTAACTATGACATTTAGACCGATCGCTTACATTACGACATAAACTAGACAGAGTAAAATTATGAGAAGGAAGTGTAGCCTATAACATTACTTATCAAACTGCTTGTGCATATAGTAATCAACATAATACAGTAGTATTTAAACCATAAAGAAATTAGTGAATTAGAAATTACTCCATCTAATCTTCTTCTTGATTTCAATGAAAATAGAAATTATGGAAGCCAAATACATCCATAACTTAGCTTTACTTAAAATTCTAACTCTTTGGATATACAACCTATATGTTCTCTCGACATTAATCAATCTATCTTTCTAACTATATCATCCATTAGTCAGAAATATTACAATAATAATCAATTATTAGTTTCTGGATATTATATCACACGTGAAAAACAATGTATGATCTAATTAGACACTGGATCACATCGTTCAAATATAGATCAAATAGTACCAACAAACTTACAGACATTAAAAGATACTCCATATATATATATATATCAAGATTATTTTCATCTTTTAAATAAATCATGTGTACTAAGCTGTATTTATATAATTTAGAGATAAGTTTGAAATCTATATTTACATATATATAGACGACTTGGAATTTTCCAGTCGTATGAAAATAAATCTGAGAATTAATTCTTCCTAATGTAGAGAAAATTATTGTCATTCATCGGTTGTTTCTGTAATACTCTTTGTAAACATGTATTTTGCAATACCTTAGCATACAAATGTATTTTATTTGAAGAAGTGGGACCTTTTGTAATTTTGAGATCTGTAAAATCTCGTAATTCAGCAATTGAATAGGTGGATGAGCTGCAAGAGTTGCATAACTGCTTACATGAGTTGTTGGACAAAATATTGAACCTAAAACTTTCTAATGGGGAGCTCTTATACTCTTTATAAAGAAAGAGGATTGGAGTTTTAGTCTTTCAAGGAATTGAACAAGCTTACAATAAAAAAATAAATATCTTATGTTGAAGATCAAAAATTTAGTCAATAAACTCAAAAGAGCTTAAAAGTTCATTTGAAGCAGTTTTATCACAATTTCCCTTTTCAGATAGCATCTGTTGTCCTATTTGACAAAATCTTTCGCACTTCTTTTCAGAAATTTGTCCTGTGACAAAAAACTTGTTACAACCAAATTTAATAGAATATTGTAGGTATAAAAAAGTAGCTGCGAAGATGTCCAACCCATAGATTTCTTGTTGCTCAAAATCAAACTAAAAATTATAACTTAAAAAGTGAGAATTCTTGTGCACAAGATTATTTTTAAAATGACACCAACTACTGTATACCATTTATTCCTCCTAGTTGCAACGATCGAGCTAATCTTAATTGACAATCCACCTTATTAAGTCATGTTTAAGTCAAAGAAGCAGTTGATCAAATTTTCCAAACAACAATCAAATATTGAACATCGAATTGCAGTGGCTTTTACAGTTTGCATAATGATTTCATTGCTAATCTTCGATCACCAATTTGAAGCTTTCTTTGATCGAAAGAGAGCACAAATATTTCATTGAGGCCAAAATGCCTCATGCATATCGTTGCACATATCTCAATCGAAGTTCCCCTACCCAAAGTGATAACAATTCTTCCACAAACCTATAAGAAGGTGTCTATCTCCTTGAACAGTTGGCCACAACACTCACCTAGGTACATTCTCTAACCTTAAGCCCTCTCCTTTATGATGTTCATTATTTGCACCACATGTACGGGTTACTATTAATTTTAACATTTATTAGTGCTTAGCTAGATGGTAGATTTAATATTTTGATCCTACACGAGTGTGAGCAGGCAAAGCCACACTTGTGGGCGACAATGGGATTGGTTCGATTTGAGGTCCAAGATGGAAGAGAGAGGGAAGATCTAAGCTCCTTCACTTTTATTCTTCTTCTTCCTCATTGCAATCAAAGTAAACCATTACACCCAATTTTGTTATCTAAATTTTATATGTGAAGATGCTTGATGATAATGATAATCTAATACACATATAAATTAGGCAAGGATGATTTGAATATTGAAGTTGATGAATCAGACCACCTAAGATCATCAATGTGAGTAATTACATTTCTAATTAAGAGAATTATTTCTCCAAATGCCTGTTGCATTTAAACTATACCAATTTAATTAAGCTCATATTCATAGATTATTTAATATACCAAAGCCATGCTATGATTCGTTATGTTCTTTCAAATAATCTTCACATTGCAATATAACATACATATGAGGCTATACCATTTTAAGAGTTTTCTAAAACACTACGGTCATTTCCCAATCGTTTGTTTGATTTTTCAAATGTTATGCTATTAAACGCTCCTATCATTTAATCTATCACATAGAAATGCGTATGAAAAAAAAACTATATGTATGATTTCTTGCATATGTGCGATAATAAAGAAGCTCCCTCATAATAATAAACGCTGATGACTCCTACCTTTTCTTCACTAAGTGAGAGACACATGAGTTAGGCCTTGCTTAAGCCAATAAGAAATATATTGGCCAAGGATGTTAAGTAACTTCTCATCGTGAAGAATAGAAAACATATGAGTTGCACCCCACTTGTGTGATGAGGGATATTTCGGTCAGCAAATATACAGGTTACTAGTACAAGGGCCTCTGTCGGATGGAGGATATCTTGAATCTAGGGTTTCCTAAAGAAAACCTACTATTAGATGCACAAAATCACACATTGGCTTTCAAATTCACAATTCAAAACACTGCATAACGTAGATAATCATTTGTTCATTTAGATGAATCAAAAAATATAAAATCTGACATAGTTGTAAATTTATAATTTATAGTTGTCTTCAAGTATTAATGCATAGAAATTTGAAAATATAAAGATAAGATGTTTAAAATTCATATCATAGTTGAAAACAAAATTGCACCAATTTTAATAGAACATAATCACACATGTAAAATAATAAGTAGATATTACAAAATATGAAATTAAAAAAGAAAAACGAATCGTTAAAGAGAAAAATAGGCATCATGTCCTTACAAAAGGGTAACTACCTCTCTAATTTTCAATCCCCTATTACACTAGAAAAGTGGGTGGGAATTTGATGGCAGGAACTCTAATTTAAGAAACGTGGGTTAAAATAGCAATGAAGGAGAATGATGGATTTAGAAAGGGTTGATGTAAGAGGAAGGTAATCAGGGATAGAGAGTCTATGGGGTGGTGATGGATCTAATGGAGGGAGAAATCAGTCAGAGGCAGAAGTGGATGAAAACATCATAATAATAGAGGCAGAAGTTGGTGGAGAGACGATGATGGTGGCGCTGTGGAGAGATTTTAGACGTAAAAGGAATGTAATATGGAACTACAGGAGATTTGTGCACTGGAGCATTGATGGAGATGACAACACCACAACAATAACTGAAATGGGAACAGGAGAAGGATGCTTTTACAAAAATTGATTAGAATGGTAAAAGTAGTGGTGTTGGTGAATGTAATGTGAGGAAGAGGAATGTACAAAGGGCTCATCTTTTTTTTTTCAAATAAATAGATAGAAATAATGTATTTAGAAATGACACTTTTTTTTAATTACCTGTTTTGAAAGAGATAATCTTAATGTCTATTAGAAATAAGCAAGAAGAATGTAATCTTTAGGATGTGAAAAAATAAAAGATTTGCAACATAAAGAAACATAGCGGAACAAAACTCAGAAAGACCAATTTATATATTAATGAATTTTAACAACATGGATTAATAAAAGCTGTTGCACTCACCAAATTTCGAATGCCATTTGCTTCTTCTTCTGTCATATAAAGCGGGCCAGGCACATGTAGCTTAATTACATCAATTTTCCTATTATTGGCATCTTTAGTGTTTGAAAGAATTGAGAGGGCCTCAACTGACCGCTCATACTGAGGATCCTTTTCATCATCTGTCCATGCTAAAAGCACCAGGCCAGGCTTAACAAAGCAACACATGTTGTCAATGTGGCCATTGGTATCATCATCACCTACATAAAATACAACTACCTTGAACAATAGGCGAAAAATAAATCAAAGAGGGATTCATAAAAATCACCCCAAACTGCCCAGACAAGGCCATTGAAAATCATAATGACAATGTGCAAAATGATGATGATGATGATAAAGAAAAAGAAAGTAAAATAAAATTCTATAAATACATAAGGCCTCTTTTGGTTAATTGTAAATAGAAAGCATATTTTAGAAAATGTTGATTTTATATTCAATCATTTTGAAAATGAAAATGAAAGCATCATAATTGGGGAATTTCTGAATAAATTAATTTTGTTTGAAATCATTGTGGTGTCTAACTATATCTCAATCAATGATGGATTTAACAAATTTCATTATTTTTCTAACATGATTTCTATGTTCAAGAAAACAAATGAACCCTTAGACAATTACCATAGAGCCCGTTAGGCAACCAAATGATCTTCTTGACACCAAGGTACATCTTGAGTTCGTTCTCTATATCTTCCTTTCTCATTTCAGGGTTCCGATTAGGATTAAGCAAGCATTCCTCAGTTGTAATGCAAGTACCTGAGAAAATAATTAAGAGGTCAGAAATCTGAAAAAGCGGTTAAAATTCTATGAAGATTCTATGGTACTACATGTTATAAACTGATATTTTGGAGATCAAGAAGTTTAACTAAGATATAATATCATCTCAATAGAATTTTGTCCAAGTTTCAGAAAGAAGAACATACCCTCAAAAGACAATATAAGGAAACAGACAAGACTCCATTGAGATAAGAACCTAAACTCATAAAGGGAACATAATAAACCAAGAATGAGGAAGGAAATATATAAGAGAAGCACAGCCTGAGGCTTCAAATCCCATAATTTGAAAGGGCACTCAGTAAAGCTCAACTCAGAGTGGACCTCTTTCCTGGTCAAGTTCCTTGGTAGAATATGTTAAGAGTGCAGAGAAGGAAAAGCAAAAGGAAGAAGAAACACATCCAAAGTAACTTCATGGCGCATCATATAGTGAATGACAGAAAATTGCAATGACAAAAGAAAGAATGCGGGGAAATATATATAACTTTAATAGGACTAGATGCTTATAATATACATCAAAAGAAATTAAAAGCTGCCACAATAGATCAGATCAGCTTCAGCTGTCTTATAATTCAGAATCACAGATTCTTATCTAAAACACAATCATGTGCAGCTTGCATTTATATTGCCATCTTGTTAGAGTTTGCAATGTTAGTTTGTCCCTTCATTATGCATTCATCATGCAATTAGTTCAATTTTTTTTTTCAGAAAAATAAGTGCATTAAAAATGTGTCATGACATCAGTCCAGTCACAAATTAGTGATGAAAGAGCCAAACAAGGATCATGATGGGAGCAATAATTGCGTAGAGCCAGTTGATCCCATGAGATCATTCAACTCATACATGTCACACTAGTGATTAATGATAACAAACGATATGAGGTGTTATTAAATGGTTTGTCATGTGCGCTACATGTTGTACAGGTATCAGCCAAACCATGATAATGATAATTTTTTCACTGGTTTGCTTGGAGCCTTTGCAGTTTAAAGATAAGCAAAAGAGGGTGAACCAAGATGCTTGAGTCCTTTGTACACCAAAAAGACGTGAATGATCAAAATTTGTACGACAAGCAAAGGCAAACATTATCAGTTTATCCTCGCTATCTCTGATAAAAATCCACAGCAAACAATGCTGTAAATGTATTTATATTAAGTTATATTACTTACTGTTTCATCTTAGCTAGTCTAAATGTATCCATAATCTTTAAAAAAGAAATACACATAACCAAAACCTTTAAAAATAAACTTAGGATAATTGCAAATAAGAGAAGCAGTAAAAGTCTATAAGTAGTTTGGCAGCAATTAAAGTAGCAAGTGTGAATAAAAACCTTCTCCATCCACATGAATGCTTCCACCTTCAAGAATCATCTGATGTGAAAATCTGGGAAGCCTCTCCAAGGAAAGGATCTATAAAAAACTATAAAAGATATCATATCACAAGAATACATACTAGAAAAACTAAACTTGTGATTTACCGACCTTTCGTGCAACAAGAATATCAAGACTCCAGTCACTATAACAACCATCAGTTCCTACAAAACATGAATGAAGGGAGTAAGACATTAAATAATTAGCACGGATGCAATAAAAATTTTGAGTAAAAAGCTGCCTTGAAAATCGATCGGTGTGGAATTAAACTATATAATAATAGGAAATTTAGGGACCAGAATAAAATCATAAACAGATAAAATAGCTCCACAAATAATTGATCGTTAAAATAATAGCTTCTCCCTTAACAAAGGATTAACTAGCCACAAAAGTGATATTGGCCTCCAAACATCTAATGAACTACAACCTATTTAACGGACTCTACCACTAATTTCTTCAGTAATTCAAATCTCAAATGATATAACCAACGCAGGAAGTTTTTATCATTTCCAAATTAAAACATAAGAGCTTACATAAGAAATAAGAGCCAATATCATACTAGTGGGTCAAAAAAGAATAAAAAGTCAAATAAAATTGCAAATTAATGGTGCTACATCTCTAGTTCGAGAACTAGCTTGCGGCGCAAGAGTTTTTAGGTGAGTAATGGGTTTGATTATAATCTAATATATATATATATATA